AAATATCTGGAAGAATATTTACTTCCATAATTGTAGCGCGCCTAAATAGGAATATCTGGAAGAATATTTAGTTCCAGATTTGTAGCGCGCCTAATTAGGAAGGAATCAACTCCTAATAATTGGTATTTAATGAATGGTATATTTTTTGTAGAATAACTATGAACATAGCGGGTAAATATAAAACTATACACATTTTTGGTAATAAAATTTTATATATGGTATAGGAAGGAAAAAGTCTCTACGAATAACGCAATGTATTTTCACAAGTGGAGAAATCCAAGTAAGTACAGTAGTGCTTAAAGTTTGTCTGAGCTAGGCCCATCAACTTTTACCATCGGATCACAACTCAATTTGCAGAGACAGTATTTCTTCCGTGTAGCAAACTTGGTTAAATATTGAACAAAAGACTAACTGTCCTCATAGTTTGTTGACAAAGACACGGAGAGGATCAAAGTATAATGTATTTATGCAGTTAGCTAGATATGTTTGGTTCTTATATTCTTCCTCCAAAATTCATAACAAACGTGCACTTGGTTTGCCTATATTGGAAGGGATGATCAGACATGCTACCTCCATGTATCCTCATCTGCAGTACTGATATGTATATATCGGGCATGATCACAATGTTGATCATTCTTCGTTTTATTTCTGACAACTTTATGCAATTATCTCCATCTAATTGAAAAAGTTTACTGTTACGACAATGTCTTGTACCAGTTTCTGCTTCTATCTGTGCAAGAAGGGAAACAAAACAGCGCAAGTCTGATCACAACAATAAAGTGAAGTTTCAAGAAGAAGAAGAAAATAGCATCAGACTACCAAAGAAAAAGGACTTTCCAACATTCGCACAAATCCAGAAACCAAATTTTATGTATCTGAAAGATAAAACTTTCAGGAGTCATTTCGAAGTCCATTTTCTAGTTCACACTTCACAGGTGCAAACTCCAAAACGTCCGACTGGAGAGTAGAGGGGACTTAAATGGAGTGCATTTGATCCATTCCAGACAGTATCGCTTCTAATCCAGAAAGAGCAGTTATTAATTAGTATCAATAAACAAACATCAAGAACACATTATATATGATGAAAAAAAAGAACACATTATATACCTTGTATAGGTTTAAAACTTCAGATGTCTGCATGCCATGCACGTCTATTAACAACTTGAGTAATTTCTATTCACAAAAATGTACGCGCCAAGCACTTGTCCGGGTGAATACGCAATAGTATCCTTTCAAAAGCTGGAACCAGTTCTCTTAACAGGATAACGCCGAATAATGCATTCCTCCTAATATGGTCCATAAGAGGTGCAAAGCAAGCGGTCCTGTTTCTTACCCTTATGCTCTTTCTACTGCTTCTCTTTGTAGCAAATGCGAGATAAATTCATGCAAATCCGAGTAGAAGTTGATGGACATGTTAACTTGAAATGAAGTCATAATAATCAGCCAAGCTCAAATTTTAATTTCTCACATCAGAGAAGATCGAATTTAATACACATGCGCATAGAACCATCCTTCTTCTTCACAAATAATACAGGAGCACCCCAAGGCGATAAACTGGGCCTAATGAAACCCTTATCAAGTAATTCCTGCAACTGCTCCTTCAACTCCTTCAACTCAGGAGGAGCCATATGGTACGAAGGGATAGATATAGGCTGAGTGCCCGACAACAGATCAATGTCAAAATCAATGTCTCTATATGGAGGCATGCCCGGAAGATCAGCTGGAAACACATCAGGGAAATCCCGTACTACTGGGACTGAATCAACAAACGGAGAATCCATACTGACANCTGGTACTCAAAACCACTAAGAGCAACCAAACACGACCGATAAACGCGATCCACAACAAGAGAATCTCCCACAGGAGTAGAAACATACAGGGGAACTCAAAGAATCCCGAGATACACCCAAATGCAGAGCAAAATAAGAAGACACATAAGAATAAGTGGAGCCTGGATCGAATAGAACTGATGCATCTCTGTGACAGACCAAGATAGTACCTGTGATGATAGAATCGCGACAGCCTCAGTACGGGCAGGAAGAGCATATTATCTGGCCTGGCCTCCCCCTTGAGGGCGACCTCTACCTCCCCGACCTCCACCTCTAGCTGGCTGGGCAGGTGGGTTGGCAACTGGTGCAGTGATCATAGCCTGAGAACTCTGCGGGGTACGCTGTGGCTGAGAAGTCTGTGGAGGTGCATCCCTCCCAAGTCTAGGGCAATCCCTCACCACAGGCGTGTGTCACCACACTCAAAATAAGCTCTGGGAGGACGTGGCGGATGTGACTGGCTCGGGCCAGGTCTGCTGGACTGACCACTGGAAGCACCTCGCGCAGGAGGCGCACTAGATACTGGAGGTGTATAATAAGGCTCTTGAGGCCTTGGTGGAGCCGGAACACCACTGGCTGCTGGAAGAGCTGAATGAACGGGGCGACTCACGTAACCCCTACCATGACGACCTGCAGTTGGGGCACGGGCACAAGAATAATTGGCCTGCCTCTCCTCTCTATCCCTGGCATGCATACCCTCAATCCTCCTAGCAATGATCACCACCTGCTGATAAGATATATCCATCTCTAACTCACGAGCCATGCTAGACCTGATGCTGGGAATAAGCCCGTCAATAAACCGGCGAACCTTCTCGCAAACCGTAGAAACCAAAGCTGGTGCATGTCTAGCCAAGTCGATGTAACAGACAGCGTACTCCGAGACAGTCATAGTACCCTGGCGCAAATGCTCAAACTCCACGCGCCAGGCATCCCTAAGACTTTGGGGGACATACTCCCTCGTGAACATATCTGAAAACTGGGCCCAAGTCAGGTAAGCTGCCTCATCCAGACTGTCTAACTCATAAGCACGTCACCACTGATAGGCGACTCCTCGAAGCTGGAAAGTAGTGAAGAAAACCCCTCTCAATCTTGATATGCCCAAAGTACGGAGGATACGGTAGCACTCCTCAAGAAATCCAAGGGCGTCCTCTGAGGCTAGTCCACTGAAAGTCGGACGCTGATGCTTCTTGAACCACTCAAGCCTCTTCTGATCCTCCTCTGAAGCTACTGCCCTCTCCTCGAGCTGAGCTGGGGCCACCGGCTGTACTGGAATAGCCTCTGGGACCTGATCAATATGCATTCGCTGCTCAGGAGTGCGGGTGGCGGGAGTCTGTGCTCCTTCCCCGGCCTGGGATGTAGCTGCAGCAAGGGGAAGAACCCATGCCTGAGCTAGAGTGGTATACATAGCCATGAATTGTGCTAAGGTCTCCTCAAGTGCTGGAGTAGTAGAGGCAGAAGCATCAGCTGTCTGGACTCCGGCTGGTACTGCTGGTGGTACCTCGGCGGCAGCTCTCGCAGGTGCTCTGGCTGCACCACGAGCGCGTCCTCGACCTCTACCCCGACCCCGGCCTCTGACGGCTCCAGTAGGGGGCGCGAGTGCCTGGACATCTCAAGTAGCACGTGTCCTCACCATCTGTGAGAGAATAGAAGACAGAAGTTTAGAATTGTGATATCAAAAATCTCGCACGACAAGGAAATCAAACGAAACGGAATTTTCCAAACAGTTACATAGCCTCTCGTAAATAAGTACAGACGTCTCCGTACCGATCGACGAGACTCTAATAAACCGACTTGTGATTCATGACTCCTATGAACCTAGAGCTCTGATACCAACTTGTCACGACCCCGGTTCGCCCTCCGTGAACCATCATGATGGCACTTAGTCTCTTCGACTAGGTAAACCTAAGTTGCGGAAAAGAAACCAAATTTTTTTGAAGTAATACAATTTAAAGCGAAAATAAAGAAATAAACAGTGTTTAAATGTGCTGCTCGGCATACACCATATCTAACTCTCAAAACCAACACATAAGTCCAAGACCCGGAAACCCATGAATCACAAGCTAAGCAGTACTACATAGCTCTAACTCCAGAATGTCTAACAAGAACTGAAAATAAAGAAGGGCTAATATTAAACAGCAAGAATAGAAAGAGACTCCTCGGTCTGCGGACGCGGTAGATATACCTCGAAGTCGCTATAGTAGTCGCCTCGCCTCAGGGGTGGTAGGACTGAGAAGTACCTAGATCTGCACATGAAAAACATGCGCAGGAAGGGCATGAGTACACCACAGCGGTATTCAGTAAGTGCCAAGACTAACCTCGATCGGGTAGTGACGAGGAAGGTCAGGTCCCTACCGAGGTTAAATAATAATATAAAGTTCGACAGTGTAGATAAGAGCAGTATAAATAAGTGTAGCAGTAAAAGTATCACAGGATATAAAGATGACTACAACTGATACAGAGGCAAAACAATCAAAAGGATGAGAACCGGGGACCTCTCAGTATCCCGAGGATCTCTTAGTATCCTCAATACACATACCCGGGGATCTCTTGGTATCCCGAGGATCTCTTAGTATGCTCCATATATGCCAAGGATCTCTTGGTATCCCGAGGATCTCTTGGTATCCTCAATATATATCAGGGATCTCTTGGTATCCCGAGTATCTCTTATTATCTTCAATATATGTGCCAGGGATCTCTTGGTATCCCGCACCTCAGCTCGATCATAAATAAGTACAGGAGGTCTCCCGGGATGCCTTCCCGTAGCCCCAAAATAAAACGCACAACAATAGCAAAAAGAAATACTCAATTAAGCTCAACTTCGTACCAAGGCAAAATAGATAATTCTAACCTAGCATGCTTCACGTAATACAAATAAGGCATTTAAGGAAAGTAGAACAATTTAGTCAATTAGACATGCTTCTCTAAACTAACAGCAGGCTAAATTTCCAAGTAGTGTAAGCAAGAAAAAGGAAGAACACAATTCAAGGCTATTTTTAATGAAAAACCGGATTTCCAACAACTAGCACAAGTACGCGCTCGTCACCTCACGTACAGGGCATTTCAATTATCACAATAACAGTCCTAAGGGGAAAGGTCCCCCACACAAGGTTAGACAAGCCACTTACCTCGAACAAGCGCAAGTCAACCCGAAACCACGCTTTTGCCACGAGTATCCGACTCCAAATGGCCCAAATCTATTCAATTCAATTGCATATTGTAAATAACACTTCAAGCAACTGATTCTACAATTAAATTCTAAACAAAACACACGAAATTAGGGAAAATGACCAAATCGCCCCTCAAGCCCACGTCTCAGAATCGGGTAAAATTTTTATTTTCGGAATCCTCATACTCTCACAAGTCAATGCATAACAAGAACACTGAAATCGGAGTTCAATTGACCCCTCAAATACCCATTTTTAGGTCTCTTAAACTCAAGCCCTAATTACCCATTTTCCCAAGTTTTCCCCCACTAATTAGGTCTTAATCACATAAAAACGAGTTATGAAGTCAAAAATGTTACCTCCAAGTGATTCCCCTTGAATCCCTCTTCAACCTTATTCAAAAAGCTTCAAAATCGCCTAACAATGGAGGAACCTAGGCTAAAATTCGCGAAATAGACCTTTTAAAAGATTCTGCCCAGGCATTTAAATCCTTCTTCGCGAATGCGGTCAAAGCCTCGCGTTTGCGAAGCAAAAAAATGACTTTGACTAAAATCCTCTTACGCAAACGCGACAAGACACTCGCGAACACGATGGTTCCTCAAGCTTACCCTTCGCGAACGCACTCCCACTATCGCGAACGCGATGAACAAATTCGACCTCAGGCCCAGCTAACCAAAAGACTCTACGCGAAAGCGATGCCAGTCCCGCGAACGCGATGCACGAACTTAGCCCTTCGTGAACGCGGTGCCTCCCTCGCGAACACGAAGGGTAAAATTCCACTGCAACAGCTGAACAAAATCCGCAACATTTTTACAACTTAATATGATCCGTTGAGCATCCGAAACACACCCGAGGCCCCCGGGACCTCAACCAAAGGCATCAACATATCCTAATACCTTATTCAAACTTGTACCAATCTTCAAAACACCTCAAACGACATCAAATCAACGAAAACCCCTCGGATTCAAGCCTAAGTTTCCAAAATCCTCCGAATTCCACATTTGATCAAAAACCCAACCAAACCACGTCCGAATGACCTGAAATTTTGCACACACATCCCAAATGACATAAAGGAACTACTGTAACTCTCGGAATTCCATTCAAACCCTCGGATCAAATTCTCACTATCGAACCGGAAACTTTAAAAATTCAACTTTCGACATTTCAAGCCTAAATTAGCTACAGACTTCCAAAACACAATCCGAACATGCCCCTAAGCCCGAAATCACCTAACGGAGCTAACAGAACCATCAGATTTCCATTCCGAGGCCGTCTTCACACTGTTCTGACTACGGTCAACTTTCCAACACTTAAGCTCTAACTTAGGGACTAAGTGTCCCAAAACTCTCCGAAACGTAAAACCGAACATCCCGGCAAACTAAAATAGCAGAAATAAACTTGGGGAAAGCAGTTAATAGGGGATCGGGGCATAAATTCTAAAAATGACCGGCCGGGTCGTTACATCCTCCTACACTTAAACATTCATTTGTC